CCAGACAGCAGACTACCCAGAGAACATGGGCCGAGTGTCCCCCACCTGGTTTCTCACAGGTCGGTCTCTCTGGAGATTTCAGATAGAGCAGGGTTTTGTTTCCCAGTTCAGGGGGCTCCTTATCTAAAAGGCCCGATGCGGTGCCTCCAGTGAGGCACGGGAGGCTCACCTCGGCCTGGAGGCTTTCCAGGCGGATGATGTGCTGGTTGGTGGACGAGTTTTTCTCCCGAAAGTCTTCTCTGAGGGCGTGCACTTGCATGGAGAGTTGTCTCTCAACTTCGGATGCCTGTAAGCAGAGGAGAACTTCAGAGCTGATTCAGAGGTTGCGCAAAGAAGTCTGTTCAGACTTTTGCCTTTCACTTCTGAAGCATTCTTCACAACTCTCTAGTCCATGAGAAGTGCAAGGTGAGATGCTGTTTCCTCCCTCCCCTGGGTCTAACTGTTCTCCGGGACCCAAACAAGACAACCCCCTTCCCCTACCTCCACCGTGAGCGACTCTGTGTGGGTCTGAGACCGCTCTGCTGCTGATCAGAGGCAACACGTCTAGAAACAGTAAACTGCACAGTGTTCGTAATCACCATCACTCCTCTGCACACCGCAGGAGCTCAGCAAAGATCTACTGAACTGCGAGAAAGTCTCACTATATTACAAAAAAAGAGCAAGACACATATACCTACAACTGTAGATAAAGTCCTGACTTCCACACCCACTTCCTCAGCAGGGCCCAGGGAAGTCACCTCTGTCTGCATCGCTCACTTCCACTCACCATGCGCACTATTTAAAATTCCTGTCATGTCTGTTAAGATTTTTGCCTTTCCTTCCTCAAGGACATTATTTTGCAACTTTTAATTCTCTGGGCAGTGCTAGCTCAGGTGCTCATTTCCTACCCTAACCTGTTTATTCTCTAATGCTGAAATGAAACACAGCAAACACCAAATACTGTGTTGTGTATCAGCGCCTTCCTTGAATATGCAGGGGTGGTATTTTGAAAACGTGCTCCCTGGGTGAGACAGGGACTCTAGCCCGCCCCTCCGGAGGGCCGAGCCCAGCCCCCCCCACTGAGGAGCACCCTGATCTCTGCCCAGCAGAGAAGAGAGCCACGGGACAGGGGAAGTAACTGCCTCAGTGCTTTGCTGAGGCCAACTGGGGTCAGTAAGCTTTATGGGTTCTCAGGAGAGATCACTGTGTGCCAGAGTGGTTAGCAAAGGCCTTCAAGAGAAGGTGGGATGGTAATAATATTGAAATGGTAGGCTAGCTGTTCAATGAGGCTTTCACACTTACACAGTCACGATGACATGTTCAGTAGTTCTTTTTACCTTTGAGTGCTATATAACCCATCGTCCATCTTTTCTTCTTTTAGTTCCACAGAGTTGGCAACTACTGTTTCTCTCTAACCACTAGAGCGGCACATAAGAATCTTAACCTACAGTTCTAATTTTAAAACCATTACAAAACACAACAAAATAAAGTCAAACCACCTCTTTTTCCCTTCACGTTCTAAATTTAACTTCAGACACTACCATCTTGTTTTAGACTTCTTTATCACTTTGACATACGTTATCAGCTTTGTGTAAAAATAACAGTAATATTACCGAGTGCTCACTAGGTGCCGAGACCTATGCTAACTGCTTTAAATGCATTATCTCAGTTGTCAGAACCAAAGTAGGCCTGTAGGACCCTCAACTTACGACGGAGGGAACAGGCTCCGGGACGTGAAGGGACTTGCTCCACATCTCGGTAAATGACAGCATCAGAATGGTAAACTTTGGGCCATTTTACCCCCGAATTAGGTGCACTACTGCCTTCTTTCATCTTAAAAGAGTTTTTCCCATTTCTGCCGCACACTACTGAAACCAAACTTTACGAGTTCAATTTAGTAAGGCTTTTGTCTTTTTCTTTCTTTTTCCTTTCCTCTTTTTTAAAATACTAATAAGCCATTTTATTTAAGACTTATGAAATTTCTTCTCATAGAATTTAGGGTCCACGAGGAAAATTCCATCTGATAAATGCTGCAGTTTGCCTGCCTGCACTGAATTTAGTTGATTACCAGTGTCTCAGGCATGTTCAGATTCGCAGAGTGCTGGGTGATCCAGGCAGCTGACCTGACTCTGAGCATCGCCACCTTGATATGAATCATGAGACGATCAGGCCACAGACACGCACCAAAGCCCACACATCCAGCACAGGTGCTGTCAGACGTACTCCTGTAGACTTGTCTCCTCCCACCAGGAAGCCTGACTCCAGAATCTGCGCTCCAAACCACCATGCTATAATGCTTCCTTCAATATCTTACACCTCAGGTGTGCCAAGGGTATTGTTCTCAAAGGCTTTCAATCTGTACCTCTCATCTGAGTCTCCAACAGGCCTAAGAAGCAGGAGTTGCTGGCCTAGTTTTGCAGACAAGGAGGTGGGAGCTGAAATAGGGAGTCGCATTGGCCTGGTGGTTGGCCTATGGGTTCTGCACCTCCCTGCCACACCATGGCCACCTCCAACCAGGTGACCAGTCATTTGCCTGTGATGATGATGGAGGGGATGGGTCAACCAGATGCATAAATCTATTCTTTGCAAGGAACTAGTGCACCTTTCAAAATTACTATCTTCTTTTTCAGAGATGGAATCTGGCTCGGCTCTTTAGACCTAACAAAATATTATCTATTTCTGCACATTAATAATAATTTCGTAACTTTGCATACAATTCTAAATGTTCTAAATGCTCTCTGATCAAAATATTAGGAAGCCTACAAAGTCAGTTTTAGCTCCATAATGAATTTCACAGCTTCTTTAAAGTTCTTTAAGTAGGAGAGTGAGCCAGTGTGGCAGTGGTCTTTCTGAAGGAACTCACTCTGCTCTTTGGAGGAAGGATGGTAATAGTGGGAAGAAAAAGTTAAGAATCAGATGGTCAGGCCCTGGCTGGTATGGCTCAGTGGATTTGATGCTGGCCTATAAACCAAAAGGTTGCTGGTTTGATTCCTGGTCAGGGCATATGCCTGGGTTGTGGGCCAGGCAGGTCCTTGGTGTCTCTCTTCCTTCCCCTCTCTCTAAAAGTAAATAAATAAAATCTTAAAAGAGTCAGATGGGCAGGGGTCGAGTTCCTCTTTTACCCTATATATGTGTACGAGTTATATGTGTCATTTAAGCTCTCTAAATCTCTCTTTCCCAAATTATAGACATATTTCTCCTTTACACAGTAACACAAAAAGGGCAGGTCTAAAGGAATGCCCATTTCCTTATTTCTAATTCAGGACTTTGTGGGATTGAAACAAATCACTGAAGTTTAGTGAAACAACAGCAGCAACAAATTGCACTGCAACCAATGTAGGGCAACTGTGCAAAACAATAAAAAGCCAAGGACCAGTCATTTTCCTTAAAAACCAGGAGCCGAGAGCACCGCACATGTGCTACTGGGTGCTTCGCAGGTGCCGTCCACTTCGGGGGGCTGCACTGGGAACAGCCTGTCGAGTGACTCAGCCAACATCATGAGGGTCAGGCTGGAAAACGTAAGGACACACAGAAATAGGAGGCAGCCATGCTTTTCGGTCTCGTTTCCTGGTGACCTTTCAATAGCCAGGAAATCTCCAGGAGCCGTACCTGAGCCGTACCTGTCTCTCTTGGAGATTCACATTTTCCTGCCTAGGTTTGGGGCAGCAGTCATGGCCCTCGGACATAAAAACTTTGCTAGTTCTAGGTTTTGGTGGTGGTGATAAGGAGTGAGGTTAGGACACTTCATTCCGATAGTAGAAAATGGCAGGCATGGGACTTACAGTTTACTTCCCAGAATGACGACTTTTGGCTACCACGCCTGAGTAAGCAGCCAGTAAGAGTTGTGGCAAAATAGTGTCAAAGAATGCCATCTGTAATTAATTATATATATGTATGATATGTGTGTATAAATATATGTATTACTTATATATATAGTTTTAGCTTTATATATAGTTTTAGCTTTATATATAAATATATAGTATAAATATATATGGTATATATGATATATATGATATATACACACACACACACATACACATATAGTTTTAGCTTAGGTATTTCTTGTTCTTCGACTTTTTTTTTTTAAAGAGAGGGAGAGGTCAGGGCACATTCCTGGGTTGCAGGCAGGTTCCCTGCAGGCCAATTCCCAGCAGGGGACGCACGAAAGGCAATCATACATTGATGTTTCTCTCCCTCTCTCCTTCCCTTTCCCTCTAAAGATAAATAAATAAAATCTTAAAAAAAATTAAAGAGAGGGAGAGAGACATCAATGTGTGGTTGCCTCTCGTGGGCTCCAAACTGGGGACCCGGCCGGCAACCCAGGCGCGTGCCCTGACTGGGCATCCAACCCTCGACCCTTTGGTCCACAGGCTGGCACTCGGTCCGCTGAGCCACACCAGCCAGGGCTGTTCTTCAACTCTTAATTTTTTTCTATAATAAGAATAATGAATTTCAGAGTTAAAAAAGGAACTGAAACAAAAGTTCAAGCCCCCACTTTACTCCTCAGAGCCACTCCCTAGCGACAGCTCTAAATATCATCCACAGTGCAGACGTTTCTTGTGATTCCTTCTCGAAATTTTCTACTGATATCTATCCAAACATCACTAAAACTTTTGGCTTTAAAAATACATATATTTTAACATCTTTCCATAGATCAATACATAGATCTACCTTCTTCTTTTTAACAATTGTCTGGTATTTAGTTATACAAATATATCATAATTTGTTTAACTAGTCTCTACTTATGAGCATTTAGAGTGTTCCAATTCTTTGCTAGAAAAAAAGAAATCCTTGCTCACCTATCTTTGTGCTTGTGGGAATATAACCTATAAATGAATAAATTCCTGTAAGTGGGACAACTAGATAAAAAGATATGTATATTCATTTTTTAAATACACTTTATTGATTATGCTATTACAGTTGTCTCCCTCCCCCTTCACTCCCCCCCACCCTGCACACCTCCACCCACCCCCATCATCACCCCCCTTAGTTCCTGTCCATGGGTCGTACACAGAAGTTCTAAGAATATGGGACGCTTTGCGAATTTGCGTGTCATCCTTGTGCAGGGGCCAGGCTCATCTTCTCTGTTTCATTCCAATTTCAGCGTGTGTACTGCCGAAGCAGCACTGTGTATTCATCTGAATGGGTGTCACCAAACTGTCCTCCCCAAATGCTGCCTCAATTTATACCTCTAGCAATAGAGCACAAATACGCCTACTTCCCAACACCTTGCCACCACTGGGTATTATGAAACATTTTAATCTTTAAGTACTTATTCCTAATATTCTCAAAATATCTCTTTTACTTTCACTGCATACAGAGATGATTATAAAAACAAGACACTTGAGAAATAACTCTAATTCCGTTAAAGAATGCTGCAGAGTTTAACACCGAAGCAGTCCCTGAGCTATCCGAAACAAACTCCTTTTGTAATCGGAGCGCTTGGGTTATTATTATTATTTAATCTTCATATTGGCAAAACAAACTGACAGTATGTGCCTTTCCCCCCCAGTAAGCTCGATTAGGTCAGAGTTACCAGCTTGGACAGACTATTTGCTCCCCACTGAGCAGAGCTGTCCCATGATCACCCTTTTACTGACACGATTAAAAATGAACATTTCCCCAACATGGAACATGTAGGTTAAATTTCTTTAAACTGGCCAAAGTAGAACTATGAACTTTATACTTTCTTGTTAAATGGAGGAGAGGAAATTGTATTAGTTTCACATGAGCATTCATTTAACTTGTCATTTGTCAGAAGGGAAAAAAAATGAACCAATTAATTTAGAAATTATGATAAATATACTATTTTAACCCTCTGCCTGATTTACTGAACTTTAAGAGAAAAACCCTTGGTGTTCGCGGCCTCTCTGGAGCGTGCCCGCCCCCCACCCCCAACCCGCCTTCTCCCAGGAGGGTGTTCTTGGCCTTTCTCTCTCCCAACCGCCAGGGGCCCTTCTTCTGCTCCTGTGACTCCTTTGCTGAAACCAAAGAGCCCAACAGGTTCACTTCTTCCACAGCTCACTTCCACCTCTATGGCTTTCTAAATAAACTTTAGCTCGTATTTGGGAAGAGAGAGAGAGAGAGAGAATGAGAATGAGAATCTCAGTCTTTGTCCCCCTAGGGCATGATGAGTAATGAGCATCTGCCTGAAATACCTTAGCGGTGGCAGTGAGAGTGACAATCAGGACGATGACAAGACCTACAGCAGTGCTTTACGTATCAAGCATCTATCATGGGCTTTACCCTGGTCTGAGCATTTCACATTTACTTACTCGAATAGGCATTCTGACGTCTCCTACCTACAGATGAGGGTGTCAAGGGCAAGGTGTTTTCCCAAGGTCGTACTTGTGCTGGTTAAGTGCCAAGCTGGATCCCTGCCCAGACCTACCTGCAGCTTCCACACTTGTACCCTCAACCTCAACACACAGCACCCCTTTCCCATCGTCCTTGGCTCTCTCTCAAAAATAATTAAAAAATGAAAATGACACTACAGCAACAACCTTAATTTAAATTCTAAATTAGAACAGAGGGTGAAGTATTACTGCAGTTGAAAACTGTTGCTTTAGAACACTACTTTCAAAAATAGTTGATTTTTCAGTTTGAAGATAACAGAACCCCAGTGCAGAATGTGTGTGTGTTACAAATACTGCCAGCATTTTGCTGACCCCCCACCAGTCTTTCTGTGTGTGTGCAATTAGTTAGGACCATACTGTTTCTACAGATTTTTCTTTTTTCACATGGTTCTGTATCAAACCATTTCCATGTTATTTATTATTACTCTTCTAATCACCATTTTAAGTGCTATGTAATATTTCATCAAGTACACATGCCCTAATTTCCTTCACCACTCCCAATGTAAGGCATCTGGGATTTTCCCTTTTTTTGTGTGTGTGATTATAGTGAATACACATCATTGGATTGGTAGTGGTAAACTATACCCGAGTAGAAATGGAATGGACAATTTTACTGTGTCAGAAAGGTAGACGAATACGCTTTAGAAAAAAAATATGAATGGGTTTATGATTACCTTTTGCTAAATGAAAAAAGTCCAAGGACCTAGAAGTCTGTATTTTTTTTATTTTCAAGGTTTTATTGCTTCAAACTTTCAACTTCAGTAGTGGGTGCCATGAGCCTCCTGGTACCACATTATGTAAGCCCCCCTTTTACTATCTTGATTACAATAATGAAAGTGACCCCCATCTCCTGAATGATAAATAAGTGCAAACAATGTAAAATAGCCTTTTTGTTCTCATCATGCTTCAGTAGCCAACTCCTCCCAAAGCCTTTCAAAATAAAACTCAAAGGTGAAGCTTGTCATATATATGTATCTCTTCCTTAACATACGGAGACAAAAGGATGATCACCAATACTTTTCCAAAGAAAAGGCTTCATTTCTAATAATATGATGGGCTAGGTTGTTTAGACCGACCCTCCTCCTGAAAAGAGCTAAGAATACTGGATAAAACACAAAAGACTTCTTAAAAGCATTGAAATGCTGACTAGATAGTGACAGAACCATGTCACATTCCACTCACGCAAATTGTTACAACAAACCACTGGAACACAAACAGTAACAAATAAACCCAACTACAGCACAAATGAATAACATAAGTAAACGCCAGGGGGTGGAGAAGGAAATAACCAACCTGCCTAACTTTGGGAAACAGCCTTTTTTGACTGTCAGCTGTGAGGTTCCCGAAAAAAAAAAAAAAAAAAAAAAAGGAGCTGTACGCAGATACTGCACTGCGGCTTACTGAGTTCGTTTTTCCCAGAGTTATGCGTTCGTGATTCTGATATTACTGTGTATGTTTAAATAGAACTGAATGAATAAGCACATTTATCATAGATAATGAGAACCAGGTTTTTCTCGTGTGGAAAAAGAAGTTACAAAGAACAAAGAGAGAAGGCTAGAATGAATTCTATAGTGTTGGATATCAGTATGAACTTACGGTTTTTAATATGTACAGGGTGGGGCAAAAGTAGTGAGTATGCAAAAGAGTTTATTCTTGTATTCTTTCTTAATTATTGTATTATTTTCCATGGGAGCTGTAAACCTACTCTGGCCAACCCTGTATGTATATATGAATGGACAGCCTGGGAAATAAGTATAGATGTCTGGTTATGAGTGTGTGAGTGTATACACACTTACTTCCTAGCTCTGTTCTCTGAGATGGCCTAAACATCACCATATCCTAGCAGCAACAGGCACACTACTGCTCAGATCTTGATTTCTTAATACCCATTGCTAATAAATGAACCAAGGCTCCTTGGAGAAATGACTGGTCCCAGAGTTTCATGAAGCAGGAAAAGTACAAAATGAGCCTGGAACATCTTATCACGCCCAAAAGAAGGGAAGAGCTCCAAAAGTGATGGACGTGTACTGAATGGACACAGGAGTCAACCGGAGGGAGTTCCCAGTGCTGAGGGCTGGGACCATTTGATCCATAAAGCAAATAATGACAGTAATGAATTATACTGCATAGAGTACGATCGATATTCACGAGTCCATGCTAATATACAAATAACCGGATAAATAAATTAATGGGGGAAAAGGAAATGGGGTAGCTCTTCCCTACAAAAGAACTCCCATTCAATACATGTGCAAGTCATGGTGGAAGTAAAAAACTATGACCAGACAAGTGTCACAGTAATAACTGTTGTAGGCAAGAGCTAGAAGATGAATGAGAATAATTAGTGGGCAAAATTTTGATGAGAAATGAGGCATTTGCATAGTCTTAAAGTATCTCCCCATAATATTAACCACAAAAGGGAAATCTCTCTCCTGCTAGATGCTGAGCGCTACTATGCTGGACATTCTTTAGCACACAACTGGTACTTATTACATATTTGGAGAATGAATGATTTATGTTTCCTTATTCAAACACTGGTTCTCCCATCAGTGCTATTTTCTCTTTATTATACACAGCACGCTCTCGGGGACTGTGCAAAGCACCAATGTTACTACCAAGCCAAAGCAAACGCAGAAGCAAACATCTAAAAATCCCTTCAAGTGAAAAACTTGAAGATTGTTTCATAGTCAAGCTTTTCACTTTACTTTAATGTTCAATGGGAATCTGTTTTCCTGAACGACCCAAGTTCAGTGCCTTAAAGGCAGGCATTTACCCACTGAATCCACCCTGGGTTCTTGTAAGTTTCTGCTGTGACATGGTAGCAGTGTGGCTGCGGACAGGTGCTGTCCGACCTTACTGGTTAAGACCTTCTCAGTTCAGCAAGGTGATACTGGCAGATGAAACTCACTTTGTACCCAGGATTATGCCCTAGGATGTTGACTGCAGCATTGTTTTTAACAGTAAAAGAACTGGAAGCAACCTAAATGTTCACTGTTAGCAGACTCGATTAAGAACATTATAATGTATCGGTGCAACGAAATGCAAATATATCTATATATATATATATACACACATATATATGTATATATATATATATGTGTATATATATATGTATATATAATCTACTGCAGTACTATGGGAAGATTTCAACAATGTAATATGTACAGTGAAGGAACGGCATATTTGATCCCATTTACACACAATGATGTGCATATATTTATGTGCAGAAATGAATGTCTAGAAGGCTGTTTGCTGATAACATTTTAATGATTCCTCTGGGGGATGAGAGTTCTAGCAGTTTTCACTTTGGAAAAGTCATTCTTTTCAGTCATTTTTGAACATTCTACAGGAAGTATACATTGTCTTAATAGTTAGAAAAAATAAAACTCTCTATTTAAAAAAAATAGGTAAATTCATAATACACCAAACTGGAGAGAAAAGTGAAAGAAAGGAACATGCACAGTTAACACTGAAGGAAGATAAGGGATTTTGGCAGTAATGAGGCTGGGGAGAGGAATACGATAATCACAACAAACCTCAGACAGTGTGAGTTTAGAAAGATGAGAGGAGAACGTTTTTATTTTTTTTTACGTTTCAAAATTGAAAATTTACAAAGTTTCATGTCTCTATGAGGTTTATAAAGAAGTGTAAGACACAATCTCCATCCTCAAGGAGATGTAGACTCGCAAAGCAGCCAATGTAAGGCCCAGAGAATATTTATATGTACGGACTGGCAGGCTGTCTGAGATGTGAGTGCACAAGTAACTCAAGACA